TGGTCTCCTCTTGTGAGAAAATTAATGATTGTTCCCACAAAGAGAACACCTCTGAACTTCAATGGAACTATACCAATTTATACATGCACCAATGTTGATCTCTGTCAGGGAATACAGTATTTCAATTCAGTGACACAAAGAAATCAAAACAGTATTGCTGGGATAGCAGGACCACGACGGAGAAAAATATTTGTGTCTCAAGAACTTGAGCACACCAGAGTCCAGCTAAACAATACAAATAAAATTGTGTATAAATAAAATTGTGTATTAGACACTGATATGACTACTATTCTCTGCTTTTCCCACTGCACTACAGCAAAAGTTGGGGCTTGGAATTGATTATGGTCAGAAGCACCTACTGCTCTTTTATATGGCTTTTACCATTATTCCCATTGCAATGTCCCTTGAGACCCTTATAGCCAGCCCAGGAGCCAGTGGTGCTACACAAAATCAGAACTGAAGAATAATCATTGTACAAAAGAGCTCAAGTGTTTCTGTACCTTGTAGTGGACAATACCTGTCACATTTCTCCTCCAGCCTTTGAATATTCTGGGAAATGGTTAAGTCACCATCCCTGCAGATATTGAAAAAGATGTGCACATGTGGTACCTGGGGACATGGTTTAGTGATGGACAGTGCTGGGGGAATGGTTGGGCTTAGTGATCTTTAGGGTATTTTCTAACCTAAATGATTCTGTGGTGCTGTGATTACTTTAGGGAAAGAACCAGCAGATTTATAAACTACAACAAACACCACCATCACTACAGGCTGATCTGAAAGAACTCTACACTCCATAAGATTCAACTACCAAATTACAAGTAAATCAGCAAAGAAGAAACTATGGTAATATTAGACAACACAGCAAGCTATTTATTGTCTTGCTGGCTCTACCTATTAAAGGGAACACTAAAAGATTATCTACTTTAGGTTCAGGTTCAAAAGTATTATCAAACCACTATTTTAAAGAAAGATATCTGCAGGACATTTCCCAGTTTACTACTTCAGGAGTATATTTACAGTCTCCTTTATATCTTCAGATGAGGTGTCTTTCTAAATTTATAATGCATTCACTGAAAAGCTCTCATAAAAGCATAATTCCTGCTCCCATATCTCCACTCAAACATTACTCACACAGAAACTTCCTGCATCAACGAGACAGAATAAAGCCCTTCCCAGCCAACCCCCCCAGTCCAGCTGACACATCATTAGACCACATCTCAGCATCATGCAGCATGAAAGCTTGTGCTCACTTTTAAGAAAAGACCAAGATAAAGGATTTCAGCTGAAAGGCATCATCAGACCCATTTATTTGATGTTCACCCAGACAGCTTTGTTTTCAAAGCTATAACTTTCTCCTGATAAAACACACAGGTATAGCCACCATGTGGTCATAAACCAGGCCAAATGTCTTCTATAAGATACTGCTAAGATTTTAATTACTTGTGTCCTCAAACCTGTAAGTGATGTCTTCCCTATCTACCTTGGAAACCTGGACATCACCCTTGCTTCTATCATAAATTCAAAAACTGTCAGAGGCCCTCCAAATTGCTTTTGAAATATTTCTGTACAACACCATTTTCTAGACATCACAGACAGTATCAAAAATATCACAGGCAACATAAAAATGATAGCTTGCAAACCACAGCAGAAAACCTACAGATCAATTACCTTGCTTCCAGGCAAAAAGCATTCATCTAAAACATAAAGAAACACCCACTCCAACATCAGCATATTTCTGTTGATTTTATGGAACATGAGAATTCCTCTGCATCCACCATCATCCACCATGCACAAACCCAAGCTGAAACTGACCTCTTTTTCTCAGCCCCTTGCAAAACGAGGTAGGTGTCAACTCCCTTCTAACATTGCAGAGGGGTATCAGCTACTTCTCTCAGCAGTTTAATGGCACATGTCTAATTAAACTCAGAAAACTGTTTTCTGTTTCTAAGCAAGACTAAAAGATTAACTAGTGTGGTTACAGGTCTGTGCAGTTTTTACAACTACAGTTTGGTCTAATAAACTCCAAGGTGTGTTTCAGCAATGTCTCATCACCATCATGCCTGTAATAACATGATAATGATAAACAAACATACCCTTTACAGGCTTTCTCACAGATGTCAGTGTGATGTACAGTGAGCAAACAGCCTCAGTTTCATAAAGAGTAGTGTTTGCAGGGTGAAGAGGAGCTTCCCTGCTCAAGAGATTCCAAGCAGCTTTTATCCTTTCCTTCTTTTGGCTGCTAAAATTATTTTGTGAACACAGTTAACACAAAACCCATTGAAAGAGACCAACAATTAATTTCCAAAGATCCTGTATGTACTATGTCTGTAGAAATGGTAATTTCTTTACTGGGTTTATAATTATTTCACATGGGTACAATTATAACAATCACACCATATGGCTTTGTCTTTTTCACATGATTCTCTAAATTATCATCTCCTGAAGATTTAATATCTTTAATGCTTCCATACCAAGAAAATAATTTTTTTCTTTGAAGTAATTTTCAGCACAATCCAGTGAAATCAAGTCCCTACTTTCTTCATAAGCACATTTCCTCTTTCCTATGCCTGCTTCTGTTCCATGACATAAATTGTTTTCCACTGACATTTTCCTGCTTATCTTGAAACCTGTTCATAGAATTGTACAGGAAAGGTTTCAGTATTCTCTGACTTTGCCTAGGAAAAGGCAAACCTGCAACACCTTCCAGACCCTGAAAAACATCAGGCCTCTCCCTCTAAAAGGAGTTAGCATTCAGCAGCCATGCTCCATCACTCCATAAAACCAAGTGCCACTATACACCAAAGCTGTCTCCAGTAACTGGGCAGCCAGTTATTCCAGCTGCTAAAAGGTAGTGTCCTTGCCTACAGTTATCCTGAAGGAAAATCCAGAAACTGTCCATAGTCTGAGAAGACTGAGCATAAACCCCTCTGTGCCATCCTACCTGTGCCTGTCCTTGGCATAGGGAAGAACCAGAAATCACCTATTTGGCTTCTACACTTCTCCCAATTCTGGCAGCAAGATCTGTGATGTTCCTTGAACAAGCCATTGAGTATAAACAGAGCCACTGGATCTGAAAGAAACTATGACCTAGGTTTTCCCCAATATTTTCATAGAGGCACTCCTCATGGCTATTCTTTGCAAAGGAACAAGACAAGGAGGGCAAATTAACTCCACCAGAGCAAGCTGTGCTGCATAAATAGGCAGGTTTTAATTATTTTTTTCTTTAACCAGCTTTTTCTAGATGTAATGCTATTTCCATCAAAATACTTCTGAATAGAGTAAGTTTCTACAGTAGAAATTTACTCTAATAAAGTTTACTGTGTAAGCTTATTATTAATATTAGGTAAGGAGAAACTTACACAACCGGAGAAGCTTCTCATCATGTATTGTTTTCTCTTATCTAAACTATAAATATTTATGTCCTAATTGTTTTTTCATTGATTAATCACTTCACCATTGATTCTTCATGCTTTGCTGATGGATGGTTTATTGTATTTTTGGTAAATTATGCCTTATGACAGGCAGTTTACCATGTAACACAAACTAAGAAAAAAAATGCTCATTATCTTTCCCATCTATTGTGTAATACCTCTCTATCTGTATCATCAAAAAGGATTTTTATGACCTCTCCATGTTACTCATCATTTCAGGGAATTTGTGCTAACTTTCACTTGAACTTTCTTGCTTTATGATTTGATTTTCTTGCCTAAGAAATTCTTAATTTTTGCCATCAACTCTTAGTATCACAGGATGCTTTTGATTTTATTTAGCTTAATTTCTTTATTTTTTCTTGCTCACAATTGATCATTACAGCAATTATGTTGCAGAGAGGTTCAACGAAAACTGATTTTCCTCTGAAACAAATAGAGGGTAGAAACAAGGAAGGAAAACCATCTTTGCTTTCTATGGAATTGAACAAATAGCACAAAAATTCTTTTCAGTAGTACTGAACCCAAAGTATGTCTCTTCTTCAAAGCTGATTTAAAAGCAACCTTGAGTTCTTTTGTGTTTAAGACAAGGAATATGGTAATTGGTCATTTAGGTCAATTTTTGGACTTGCATGGTCTCAGAGTATACTAAACACTGGAAGTGATGGACTGAGACCTAAGGATGTGTTGTCAGTGTTACACTGACAATTATGGTGCTAATGCCAACAATCCATGCAAAAACCATTTGCCACTGGTTAAAAGGAACTTCTTGCTTTACCACTGCCTCCACCTGTAAATTCACACACATTATATCAAATTCTGAAAAAAAACCAAAAACAAACAAGTGGCAGAGGTGACAGATGGAATTAAGATTTCACCTCTGAACAAGTTATAGATAAAAAATTGTTTTAGCTACCCAAATGCCTCATAATTAAACAGGTGAAAAATGCCTGCACAGATATATTTAAATAAAAGCCACAGAAATTTAAAATCCATGTCTAAAAATGCAGAGGCAATTTATGCACCCAGGATTCCACAATTTTTGAACGTGATAAATTCAAATTGCATTGTTTAGGAGAGCTACTGAACTTATCTTTTGTTCACATTATTCACATCACTGAAACATCACTTTAAAGAAATAAAGGCAACATTAGCAGTTATCTTGATTCAAAAGGCTTCCACCCTGAATATTTGAGAATGCTATGGGATGTGACAAGTTTCTGTATTTCTCTCAGGGACTTTTACTGTACAAAGACTAAAATTACGGGGTTTACTTGGGATATTATTTGCACTGCCTCTGGAAATAGTGCCTCAGTTGTCAATTATGATAAGATCTCTCTCCTGATTTCTTGCTAGTTCCATTTTGCTGTGTGGAGAAACAAACCCAGTGCTATCAGTCTCACCAGCCAGGGAATTTATTAGCAAACCACTGGGCTCCTTCTGCCTCAGGATGTCTGTTGCCTGACTGCTATTTTTGCAATTTTAGACAACAGCTGTGACTGGCAAACTGTGAGGAGATGCAAAATGCCAATTCTGTTTCAAAGCATGATAAGAGAAAGTGCTGATACTCACCAAACTATTCCCTGAGCCCCAGAGCCAATAGGTTTCAAGTTCTGGTAGCGTTTGAGGACTGTGAAGGTCGAGTCACCTACTTCCACGCTGTAGAACTGGTTGTCAACTTTGCTTTTGCTCATGTTGTAATGTTTGGCAATATATGACACATCCACTTGTTTCCCAAATCCCTGTTGTATAGAAGAAAAGGGGAGAGGGGTTGGTAAAAACAGAGAAACCAAGGCTAGTAGAACATTAGAATACTGATAAAGCACTGTCAGCCTAATTTTTCAATATAAATCCTTGTCATTTTTGGCTCATTTTCATAAAGACTGTATCAAATTTTCTTTCATGCAGGAAGTCACCATAAAAAGGCACTGATTAAAGAAAACCAGTGAATTCTCCAGCTGATGTTTGTGATACAGTTACTGCCAATATTAGTCTCTGCCTGCCATCACTCCTGCCTCATGACTACTGGATTATGTGCTCTGCTGATTCTGCCCTCGTTTGTTTTGCAATTAATTTAAAATAAGATGACTTTCATCAGTGTGGAAGTGGGACAAGAGACACAGGAATCAGACTCTTCATTATGGATCAGACAGAGCAAGCAAATGTATTCCCATGAGTGCTAAAACTTTCCCTGAGCACGTAATAAAGGCCTTGAGAACCTTTCAACAGGTTTGTTTCTTTTGAAACAGAGAAGTTAATGGGACAAGCTGTGACCCAACATGGCTCAGTATCATGGAGATGTATTCCAAAGTTCTGGAGGTCTTCAGGAATTCTGGGCTCCTAAGGATAAGAGGGAGAGCTCCTCTCATGACTTATCAAATGCAGCAAACACCAATTTTCATAACACAAAACCAAGCACTGTAGCTAGCACAACACAGCAGTGTTCCTCCCCAAAATTAAAATTAAAAACCAATAATTTTTGGAAGACTTAAAAGACCCTCCCTCAAATTTGTAAAATTACCATGCAGCAAGTTACATTATAACCCCTTTATGACTACTGCTGAGCTCAGTTCCTATGGACTACAGAGTAAATTTATAGCAATTTGAGACAAAAATCAGAACTAGGTGCTTGTAATTTAGGATTCTGTAGTACATGATGATGAGCACAGGATCTAAAAGCTCAACATATTACAATATATCTGCCCTAAAAGAGTTGACAGTTCACTTATGGAAGTCAAGATGTGCCCAAATGCCTTCCATAAAAAAAAAAAAAAAAACAGCTATGCTTCTGTCTATGCATTTTTTTTCAGTGCTACCACATACAGCTTATAAATTTTCTTATTTGCTCTATTATAAATTTCTTTTCCCCAAAAAAATCTTAATGATCAAATGCATTATGTGTTTATGGGCTACTATGTTGAAATTTGATGGAGCTGTGAAAAAAGTAAAGTTGACTTTGATTACATTACTCGTTCAATTAAAAAGGACATCATTCCAGTGTTCCAAAAATCTGATCATTAAAAACAGATTACTGACCTTACAAAGAACTTGGATTTTAAGGTTTGCCTTGGAAAAATCATTATTATTTTTCTGTCTTTTATCTGACAGAAGGAAGGCCTTTTGGCACTGGACAGCATCATACTAAACACCTCATTTAGAGACTTTGAAACATTTTAATAAATGCAGCTCTCCATTCAAACACAAAGTCTCATCTCAGAAAACTAAGTGGTAACTTTACATTAACTTGTTCATCAAACATTGTGAGGGGGAGAGCAGGGGAGGCCTTAACACAAAAAGTGAGAGGTTTATGGACACTGATACAGCACTAAATTGAAGTTTCCAGAGAGTGAAATGATCCCAAAAGAGGTTTGAATTTTTCTCATTGGAAGACAGTCTGCATCTCATTCACACTGTGTAGCCTTAGTCTTAAAACGTCTTCCATTCTGTGAAAAGAAATGCATAAATTTGGCTATTCAGCTCAGGTATTCATACCAGACCAGAAACTGGGTGGGTTTTTTTGGTTTTTTTTAATAACATGCTCGTGATTGACAGAAATTTCACAGCTCCCTCTGGCTAGACAAACACATTAGGAGAATGTTTTTTCCTGATGTCATTATCAGAACAATGCAGGACATATTCAGCATTAACACCCATTACTCTGAAGCCAATGTTTATGTATAAAGTGTCAGCATAAAAATTGCATTCTTGAGTGAGCCTGAGTCACATCCAGCTCCTCTGGAAGTACAGAGTGAATTTTTTAAACAAATTGGATGACTGTGTTAAGCTTAGATGAGCCAGGCCTGCCACAATGTGTTTGTGTCCTCACTCCCAAGCTACCTGACAGCTCCTTGTGTGGCACGGAGCTACATGGGAGCATATATTTTATCACTCTATGTGTAGAATAAAAATTACTTGCTTTTACGTTATCCTGACCTCAGGAAATTCAAGCTGAGTACAGTGGGGTTTCTGAACTGCTGCGGTTCCAGCAGCTGGTTCTTTTAAATCCAGAAATGTCTTAAAAATCAATCAAAACAGATGAGAAGAACCACTCTGTAGTACCTCAGTTCTATGGGTAATTTACATATCCAATTTCTTCAGTCAACAGCAATTAAAGTTGTGGACCCGGAAGACCACAGCTGATAAGAAGATGCAGATGCCCTGATGAGCTGCTCTCCTCTGCACAACACAGATCATTCCTATAACAATCTGCTCCTAACTGTATGTGAGAGGGAAAGGTAAAGACTGTTTTATTTTTCATGAAATAATTTTTTTCTTTTTAGATTAGTATCTTTTTCCCTACTTATAAATTTGTGCCCCATAAGGTATTTTACAAGCATTACTTGTAAAATTCAAGGCAGGCTGATTTAGTTTGAAGTTTACTTCAAGCAGAATGCCTCCTCTGAGTGACAACAATTTCAGCTTTGTGGACAGGCCAAAGTCTAAGTTGGCTCCTCACTCTAAACCCACACTGCTACAAAGCTACAAAACAACCCCTACTCTATATTTTCCAATTTTTACCAAAGCCTAAACAAGCAAAACAAAAGCATAGTAAGGTTACTAATGCCCAATGCATTGCTTACTTTCATAACAACAGGAGATGGATGATATGACTATCCTTGTCATGATGCTGACTTAAATCGCTAAGTCAATGAATTAACAGCATTGTTGGGTAACAGCATTATTGGATTAATCAGATTTGATCAGATCCCCAAGCCAAGCTGACACATAATCAAGAGCAATCTCTGGTTGATTCAGCAGCCACTTCCTATTGAGAACAAGGAAATGGCAGCTTCATTTCACTCCAAAATTAAGATAATTTTTTTCCCTTTAGCAAGGAAATTCATACTCTTTACAGAGCATGTCAATGTTAGTTTTAGTTTCAAACCCAGATGAAAATGTTCTTCTCCCAATCTTCAGATTCACATAGCTCATCTTAAAGAAGCCTACACACTACATTTTGCTCTTCTCCTGTTACATCCTCATTGCTCATTTAAACCCTTTCCAGAAGCCTTGGTGTTGTTACAGATATTGATATTCTCCCAGATGCCCTTCTGTACCCCACTAAGCTATTCCAGATCCAGGTTTTGCTGCACAATCTTTACAACACCTGTACAGGCAGATTAAATTAAAGCTTTGATTATGTGGCATCAGAAAGGAACCCAGAGCTAGGAATTTCCAGCATACACCCTTCTGTAGATGCACCTAACCATAAACTCCTTCATATGATTGAGGCTAGCATCATAAGAAACCAGGAATTAGTACTTCATTAAGAAATACATGGGGGAAGGAAGTTTATAGATACATTCAGGATATCACAGTAAAAATGTATAGGTCTCATACAGTAAAGTGAATTCCAGTGAGTTAATACATTTCCAGGTGAACTTCAAATGAACTTGGGCAAGCTACAATACTGAGGCCCCACAACAACAGTAAACATTGAAGCTGTGAAACTTCGAACAAAATACATCTAAGTTTGTCAGACCTCTGTGTAAGATGAAAGATTATTCCTCAGAGACAAAGTATACATGGAAAAGCAATTTTTTCTCAGTTTCCATAAACATTTGGACAATGAAATTGCATTAGTTTGACATTGAGAGGAACTTAGCTTTCATTTCATACGTACAAAAATGCATAAACCATTACTTTCTCCTTTCAGTACCTAATTGAAAACTTTAATGCACACACACACATTCCCCAATGCCATTCTCTTTCCTCCATAGTGAGAAATTTAAGAGTAAGAGAAGTGAAAGTTTCTCAGCCCTGAAAGCCTAACTATCCTTGTTAGCTTACTTGAGCACGTAGCCATACTTGCAATGATGTTTGCTTAGTAACCTGACAAGTGAGAAAGAGAAAAGAAAATAAACTGTCAAGACTCAAGCATTTGAGATGAAGGAAAAGGATACTCTCACCATTGCTAATTGTTTAGAGAGCACATATTTTGCTTTCAAAGGACAAGTATTTAAAAATTCTGTGGAACTCAAATAACTGACTGCCTCACACAGAGCTACAAAGTGTATTCTTTTCTTTCAGAGTACAGAGAGGAAAAGAGTTAAAACCCCAACAGAAATAAAATTGTGTTATTTTTTATATTGTAAGGTGAATTGCTTCCTGATATCCCATTTCATTTGTCCATTTCTATCCTACAACATAACTGTATTTATCATATTTTACTGACATACCTTTGTTTCTGAACACCACCCCTTCTATTATTGATGAGCCTAAAATATGGCAATGTCTTGCAGCTCAGCATCTCATACATTTCAGATTTTATAAATACAAACCATGCTAGCAGCAATTTAAGGTAAATTGCTCTCCCTTGCATCTCCAGGACAGTGAGCACTGTCACAGATTCTGCTGGCAGCATCAGCAGAGGGGAAACTTTACCTCAGTGTTTGTATCCTTCCCTGTGTGTGCCCACAGAAATCCTGGCAGGAAAATTCATTCAAGGGTGCCATGATGCAAGGCTACTGAAATCAATTCAAGCTCTCCACGTGTGTGTAAATGTGTGTGAATGCTGGTGAGTGAAAGAATCAGATGGAAGACTGAGAGGCTGATTCCCAATTGGCAGCTGGCACGGAGCCCAGAGGTGAGCAGGATGGAGCAGAGAGGATGCTCGGAGCCAGACACCATGACGGCTCCCCAGCGGCCCCACATCCACCCAGCCTCAGACAAAAAGGCTGGTGTGGACCACAGCTCATTTCTGAGGTGGATGCCTCTGAATCTCTCAGGATAGAAAAGGATCATATCTTAAAACTACAATTTAACCTGGAAAGTCAAATGCTGAGGCTGTAGAGACTGACATTCATGAGAATGGCAAAACCCTCAGGCTTCTGGCCAGCTCTGAAAATGTGCACAGAGGCAAGCTCTGCTCACCTGGGTGCATCTGCTCAGCCAACAGCACTATGAATTTAATGGCTGTCCTCCCACTTGCACAGCTCTAATTCTCACAGAACTTTCAAATGCCAGATTTCTGGCATGAACATGAATTTGTGAGCCCTCTTCAATTTTAATGGTCACAGGTTTTGCTGTGTAAATTTGAATGGCCACAGAAGCTTTCACTTGGGAAATATAGAGTGTCTTTGGATAGAAAGATCTACTAAATTATTTTAAATTGTGTATTTTATATATGACACATCTATGGCAGAAATTTTATCTATTTTTTTCTCTCCATAAAGACAGACTTATTCTGGCTCTTCCTGAACTCAAAAGTCCATAAACAGAGATCCAATCTTCTACACAGGGTTTCATCTTGTGCGTGTGTGGTTGGATGTAACATTACAGATTTTGGTCTTACCAGATATATCACACCACAGTTCTCCATTCTTCCACCTCGTTCTCATCCTGTGAGGTTTGTATTAGTCATCCAGTCTTTCTGATTTTAGTGTGTTTTGAGTGGGATTTAAAAGCTGATTTCTGGCCTTTTAATCTTTCTCCAGCTGCCTTGCCCCCCAGACAGGGGTCTTTCTGCACTCAGACTTTTAAGTAGACAACAGACCCCTGCAAACAACTCAGCCTTGATTGATCAGTGACTGATCTTTTTACATTTGCTTTATTCATTCTATTTCAACACATCTTAAAGCATTTTATTAAAGGTAGCACTATGTTTCTAAGTGCTGCTTGGGGTTTTTTTGTTTTGTTTTTATTGTTAGGTTCGGGTTCTTCTATAGTTGTTGTTTTATATTTATTTGTTTAAACACTCTGTCCTTGTTTAGCCTCTTCTGAGATCTGAAAACCCATCAGCTTACCTAGCCCTTACCTAGTTCTGATTACACACAAAACAACAAATCTGCCTTCTCCTTTTCAACTGTATCTACTCAAAACATGAAGCAAAGCACTATTTACTTATTTCTCTTGTCCTCCACATGTTCACTGAGCTCTTGGTACTTTACTTGGCACTACAGGCACCTAATTTTCATTGCTTATTTATAACTGTGGTATCATGTATTGCTCAGAAGTCACTGTGTCCCAGAGTGTGTCCTTCATTCCAGGCCAGATTCCTACAGATGAGCAATGTGAGTATCTGCACAAGAAAACACTACTTCAAATGATTCCTTCTCCCCCCCGATGCCTGAAGAGCTCAATGCTGACACACAGGTGACATCCAGCCCTGGCCATCACACCAAAGAAGGTTCAGAGGACTGATAAAGAAACACTGAAAGAAAAGGTTCCTTGAGACTGAGGTTTTTTTAGGAAGAGGAAATAAATAAATAAATCAGTGATTGAAGTGCAAAATGTAGCCAAAGATACAGGAAAGAAAGTAGATTTCTCGATAAAACTATATCATTACAGTATGTGATGTGAAGACAATAGCTAATGAAAGGATTCTCCCTTTTACAAATAAAAACTGTATGGAGCTAAGTACTAAGTAATCACACTTTAGCTAGAAATAGACAGCTCCTGACCCTATGAAATGTAATTTTATTCATAAAAATCTAATATATCAATTATTGGTAACTTTTGAATACCAGCGAATCTCCCCTTGGATAGAAGACATAATCACAGGACACACTACATTTAGAATCTCATTCTAAATAAAGGCATCACCTATACCTACATCTTAGGGAACATGTAAATTCTGACAGGCTACACATCTCAATATTTATTTTAAAAAAAGATACTTAAAAACCAAATGGAGAAAATATGTATGAAGAAGTCACTATTCTTTTGGAATTGTGAGATGTTGTTAATATATAAGTATTAAAATTTAGTGTCTCATTCTACTCATGATACACTACTCTGCATTACCTTGTGCTATAATAAAAATGTGTAGGGTCCTATAGATAAAAGCTTGTTGGTGATAACAGCCTTACAGAAGTCTAATGAAATTCTATAGGCCTTCCTGTCCTACTTTTCTATTATTATAGAACAGCAGATGTCCTCATCCTCAGCCTTAAAAAAAGGTGGCTGCTTCAGAACATGAATTGGCTACCCATGTCCAGTAATTCCAGACCTGAGTGTTTTTACACTGCAAAAGGGTGAAGAGTTGGGGAGGTACATATTTACCCTACTTATGCTACTGAATATTTCTCAGGAAGGGCCATTCTTTTTTCTCCTTAAGCTGAAAATCCTTAAAATTCTGTTCCTGCTGAATTAGCAGTTCATTGTACAAAACTAGTATGCTCAGTGACATAAGCTCTATGTCAAAGAAAACAGCCTGTAATTATGAATGTGTCACTTTCCTTCAGAGCACATAAAGCTATGCCTTTCAGGCCACAAATACATATTACAGGAAAAATACACCCTCAGTACTAAAAATAATTGGGGTTCTCTTCAATATTGGAGCTTTAAGAAAGGCACTTCAGCACAAACACTTTGGAGAATTTCTGCAGTGAGGCATAAATTTAAAATGGAAGCAGGAATAAGAATGGAATAACCAATATTACCACCTGGATACTATTCCTAACCTCTAAACAAAGATCTAGATGCTTGGACCAAGTACAGAGATATAACCCCCATCCCACTGTGAACAATACAAATTAACAGCATCCAAGATAGGCCTTAATGCAACCAGACACTTAATTTAGAGACTGTTCTTGCTCATAGTTACAGCTGTTATTTGGATCAGGTTCTATCTTTATGGAGAGAATAAATTAACATGCAGCTTAAACCACTTTTTATCCTCAAGAGAATTGATCTGAAGGTCTGAAGACCTTGAAAAGGTATTCATGTGGTAAGTGCTTGAAGGATGGAATTCCGTTCCTGACAATGTCAGGATAGTATCTCTTTGTATGTATTTAGTGGATGACGCCATTCTGGGTACCTGTTGCAGCCATCAAACAGGAATTAATCTCACTCAGTGATAAAAATGCATCCAAAATGGCCTAAGTAAAAAAGAGAGGAGAGCTATGCAAAAAACCTCTATTCTGCACAGTGAAAGTATTTTTTTATCAATAACACTTTTCTCATATAATCTGATAAAAAAAATTGCAATTTCTGCAATTTCTTTTTTGGAAACAAACTCTGTCAAAACATTACAAAAATACTACGTTTGACAAAGTTGCAAGTGGAAGAATTAAGCCAGTTAAACACAAGCGCATAAATAAAATAGAAAAGACAGTTAAGCAGATTATCAAACTGAATAGTCAAAACCCATCCCAGAGCTAATGATTCCTAAATCCAGATTCAACCTTCTCAGGAGAATTAATAGTTAGTGTCCCTGAGTTAAAAAACATAAAGCAAACTTTCTAACACCTGTCATTGTCTAATATTAAATGCTTACACACAAGTAGCAGCCTTTTCTTTTTTACAATTGTGCTTTCACTTGGACGCCACATGTAATATAAAAGAAAAAAAATGTGTTTATCATAATTTCTAAGAATGCAACATTGGTTTCAGCCTCAAAAAGTGAAGAATGTCCCTAATATCTCCCCAGTTAGTTAGAATACTGATTTCCCATCTCACAAAAAAACTTTAAAACTATGAAGAGGCAGAATTCAGACACAAAAAACTGTTCAGAAGTGAGCAAGAAAAAGTAATTTTTCATTCACAAGGGAAAATTATGCACATAGATTTGCAACTAAGCATGTTAACTAAACCAAGAGAAATAAAAACTGGATAAATCAAAAAGCTTTTTCTTTGCATCAAAGATCTAGTTTCACCTTTGTGGGCTTCCATATATTATGACCAAGCAATTTCAAGGATGATGTAGAAATACAGAATTGGCTTTAGTGCAGCCTCAGGGTTCCAGAACCTCAGTACCACATGATGTTCAATGGGAGACAAGACAAACACCACGATTTTGATTTTACTTCCTTCAGTTCCAGAATATGTAAACATAAAGTTAGTCACAGGTTACAATGTAAAAGGCTCTGTCTCAGAAGAACAGAGAATAAGATAAAACAGTTTTAATTTGCAGTTTTTCTGTTTGAATATTGTGCCATTATTTTTCACTAAAAAACCTCAGAATATTAACTGATACTTTATCAAAGCAAAGTCAAAAATCATTAAGACCAAATTACAAAATAAACTTGAGGGCAAATAGAAAAGTAATTTTTTGTGGTGTCTTTCTCTATTTTCTTTGTATTTTATTCTCATGTTTATAACTTGCAGTAAGCTGTTGAAACTCACTTCTATTTTTCTCTTATTATAGCATGAATTGCAAAAATGAAGTACAAGTATATACTGTACCTTGTTTTACCTGTAAGGAACACACACCTGACAAAAGGCAATCTTCACATCCAGAGTAGGTTCACCAAAATAATACAAGAAATGGCGGCTCATAAATACCTGCAATTAAAGAAAAGTAAACATAGAATTTTTGTCTGCTGCTGATGTACAAGTATAATGCAGGTCTAGCTTCATTTGGATTATAAAACCAACCTGAGTTGTTACCCAACTTGTCAAAACCAGAAATTGAATATTGAACTGTAAAAAAGCTTTAAATTCTGTCTAATGCCTATCAAGGTTATGGCCCCAAATATGACTTGAAAAACTTACATCTGGAAAACTTTACAGTAACTGGTGCCATTAATTCAAAGTTTATCATGTCACTTGCATATTCCTACACCAAAACCAAAAACAAAATCAGGTCAATAATGTTCTGAACAATGTGGGAATAGGAGACAATTATTGTTATGGGGAGAAAAAAAAGGCCTAAGTTGACAAGTATTAGTTATAGAAGTGGAAAGGCTCATTACATCACTGTGTAAATTCATCCACTTTGTGAGCATCCCATGTTCTGGTCTTAACATTCTACCACTAGAAAAGCACAAAGAGATTCCTTACATGAAACAACTGCATAGACTGGAGTTTTGTGGGTTTTTTTAGCCTAGAAAAGAACTGTCTGAGCAGAAATATGCTGGAGATGCATAAAATGAGGGCCATACTGAAATGTGAAAACACCCTTCCTTTTTTTTTCTCAAATTAAAATAAAGGGCATCAAGTTATGTTATCATAGTTAGAATCAACAATAGGAAATAATTCTTCACACGCTGTTTTGGATGAAGAATTTGTCACAGTGAAACTCTCTGTCTCATGTTCCTGTGGAAGTCAGAAGTCAACATAAGCACTAATATGATTAAGCAAATTCACATAAGAAGAAATCTGCTGAAGGCTACTAACCTCGAAAATATCACCCCTGACTCAAGACACCCCTGAGTCACAGTCTGGCACTCCATGCTCAGCCTATTTCTGGATTTCCCAGTCATCTGATGCTGCCCAGGGAGCCATAGGCTAGACTAGACAGGCCTCCCTGTGCACCCCAATACAGCTGTTTTAATTTAGTTCCAAAGCACCACATCCAGCTCTGCCTAACCAGTCCTGTCCTAGCTGCATTCTAGCATGGCACATCGGTGACAAACATGCACAGCAATGAGGCTGTCAGGCTGGGATAGGCAGCTATGTCACAAGACTTTGGAGCATGTGACTCTAAAAAATCACAAAAAACCCAGCCAAACACACAAAGCAACAACAAAACCCTTCTAACAGTACAATGAAAAAACTAGAAACTTTTAGCTAAAATTAGATACTTAGATAAAATTAGATAATTAGATAAAATTATATAGAACTTAATGTTTTTTCTGTTAAATATAAGTTCACTGTAAAGACTTAAAAATGAAAATAAAACAACCATCCAACCACCACTCCATAAAGACAAAGCTGTGATTCTGAAACACTACGTAGCTACTCATGGCTCTTGTCTTCAGTAAGAACAACTAACTAACTTCAAGTTTAAATGGCATTAAATAAGACAAGACTTAATTTGGAGTAATTTCAACTCACACAAATTGATCAAAAGTAAAGAAACTACAAGAAAGTATTCATCAATACTTGCACCATGTGTTCCCACATGTGTTTAGTTTTTAATGAATGAATATATGAATAATCCTATTATGAAAGCAAGTTTATGACCTTTTCTGCATCACATTACAGTGTCTGAGATTGCTGCCTCACTACCCATTGAGTCATTACCAAAGTCTCATATTCCACAGGGGGTTTATAATCGTTTATATTAAAACAAAAAATAAGAAAGGAAGCTTTTTTAAAAAGAAAATCAAAAAAGAAGAAGGAAAAAAAGCTTTTACCATTAGTCATATTGCCAATGATTTCTGGAAAGCCAGCAGGTAATTACACTGTCATGCTGCAGATATATTCACTGGCTATATGCATTACATTGCTATAATAATGAATGTCTGAAATGTCAATAGCTATGACATACCGTGTTCAAGACAGAGCTTAATGGTGGAAAGTGAAGAAAGGAAGGGAAGAAAATTGGGGGAATTTGGTTTATTCCTGAAGTTGCTGTGAGGGTCTGTTGAGAAGAAATACTTTGTATTATGCATGCAGTACTAGTCATACCCTGCTTCTCAGCTGTCCAGAGGAATTACTGTGACTGTTAATAGTCACCCTGGGCAGAACAATAGACTGGTGAGTTTTATGAACTGGAACACATTGTAGAATTTATTATGTTGTCCTTGTGGGCAGTTAATGCTTATAAAATAATAGAAGTATGATATGTTTTAGTGGCCTTGATCAATACTCATCTTCCTCTGTACATGAGATACACTAAATTAATCACTACAGAGCTGAGTTCCTCCAGTTGTACAGTGGGAATGAATGCCACCTTTCCATGGCACAGAAAGGTGTACCCAGGACAAAACAGACTTGAGTTCATGTTTTAAAATTTTTATTGAATTCGTATAAGGTTCCCTCTGGTGCCCTTTAAGTGATCACACATGTATGTAACTTCTAATTCCTTCAGGCAGAAAACAGATTCACACTCCGCTGTGCAGATCTCCTTGATCATGTCTCCTCTGGTGTGAGCTGACACCACATCACTGGAGATACTTATGAAGTGTCAGAATAAAGAACTGGCCTGATGCTGAGATAATTGTGTTACACTATAAAGCAGTTATAAAACAAGAAGCTACTGAGACAAACAGCGTCACTCACCAGCGACTGGAGCTTTAAGTGAGAGCATAAGCATCCAATATTTTTTCATCCCACCTCTGACACTTTACCTTTTCAATATTGAGTGAAATCACCCAAGGGGCAAACAACTGGGAGAACAGAACACTGCTGACAGAACAAAATACTCTGGGAAGCCAGAGACTGCTGCAGCATTACAAGGAGAAAACCTGTCTGTGAAACAGCAAAGACACAACTGGATCCCAAATCTTCATTATGATCAAGGAGCTGTATGACAGAACCCACAAAAACATACAAGACTCAGCAGCAAATACGACATACTTTAGGCAAACTAAAACTAGGAGGCACTAAAATCAGGAAGAGGAAAGCAGCCATGAAGGCAAGATAAAGAAAATCCTGAAAATCCTCTGAGCTGTACAGTGGCACAGCCCCCAAGGGAACTGTTGGCTGGATCCACTGAGGCTTGGCCTCTACCTAGTCTGCTGCTTTGCCATCCTCTACTTCACTCCTCTCTTCCTTCCTTATGGAAAGCTGTTCTTCAAGCAGAATGTGGACTAAAGACATGCCCATATTTCAGGCATGAACTTCTCTTTACCTGCAGTGCTCCTATCAAATATTCCTTTTCTGTACAAGGACTTTTCAGGGCTTTTTTTACTTTTAATAATGGTATCTGTCTTTCCAGGGTTCAGGAGGATTATCTAATTATTATTCAAACAGCTCTTTGAAGACTGAAAGGATTAAATCAATACTATTAGTATAATTACTGAGAGCAGAGAAAAAAACATGAGAGCTGTTAAAACAGACCTGAAAACCGACAGGAGCTGCAGTCTCAAATATAGCCTACTGCAGTAAACCTTTCTGCTCACCCTTGAATTCTTTCCTTGCCCTCAGTGCTGTATGATATTGGTATCCAGGGAATGTCTGGGCAATTTGGCCCAGTCAGATTAAATACTTTGGCCTAGGAGTGTTGTTTTCTACCCAAGCTGCCTTATCCTTCAGGTAAGTGGCTCCTGGATCATGGACAGGGAGAATGTGTTTGCCTTAAACCCAAGAGATGCAAACCTCCAGTCTGAGGGCTCTGGGCTATTGCTCTGCTGGTCCAAGGAGAGCCTAAGCACTTGCACACACCATGTTGAGCTCCTTTATCTGGAAAAAGCATCGCAGTCACTCTCTTTTGAGAAAATACCTTCATGATCGTCTGTCATCCCTGCATCCCCTAATTAACAGGTAAGTCCCTTGTGGCCCATAGACAGTGCCTCAGCCTGTCACAGTATATTTAAAGTGTTTTGTGAAAGTTCAGAAGGCCAATGTCAATCCTCAGTAAAGCCCCATGTAACCTTTTATTTACAAAGATAAAGGAGCCAGCTGCCCTGCTGCAATACTGCTTCCTTCATCCCAGCCCAGGCAGGCAGGGCTGCTCATCTCACCCCACAGCACAACCATCTGTGTCAAACACACTGATCCAGGGCTCAAACAAGGTTCTTCATGAGGAAAAACTGCAGCAGCTGTTTGGCCTGTATGTACCTGTTTGTACCTGTAAAACAAGTGCTGCTGCACTTGAAATGAATATCCCAAACTAGCCCTGCTGCTGTTCTCATCACCTCCCATGCTCCTGAGACTATACTTTGAGAGGTATTTGTATGCCTACAACAAAACAAAATGGAAACAAATGCTTAAATTCCTAATTTAAAAAGTAGCCCTACATGGAATGAAAAAAAATATAGAAATGCAAGTCCCAGTTTAAACAGGAATCAAATGGCAGCTGGAGATAAAGTAGAAAGAACTACTTGTATGTAAAATTTCATTAGACTTAAACCTGGTATATTGTGTCTGCAAACTGGAAGGCTGTAAAAGAATCACAAGACATCCACCAATATCTATGCCAAGCCCCATCAATTGGGATAATCTCAATAATATGGGGAAGCAATATATATTCATAACACGTAATTAAATCCAGCATTTCTGTTTATTTGATATTACCACCTAATTGTGGTATGTGCACAATGGGCGTAGTGAATGTGCTTCCTATCTTCACTGACTTGTAGTTCCCTACTTGTTCTACAAAAGGAGAATTAAAGTATTTATTACTACCTCATTATGTTTCATTCATGAACATAAAGATTCAGGGCATGGAAAAAAATTATTGAAATAGCACCATCACTTAAAGTTATTTTAAAAACCCATCCTGTCCTAATTCAATGAGAGGGGGCAATTGATCAATTCAGTTGTCACTTAAAAACCTTCTTTAAAAACACTAATGTTCAAAGATTATGTTTCATGAATTATTAATGCTTCCTGTTTTGAAAATGTGCTTGAAATAATTTCATGCATTTCCAGTACTGGAGTTCCTCTCTCCTTCA